TCTCGTCACCACGGCGACTACAACATGGGATTTTTTTCGCGATTATACTGTTCATTTGGAATATAAGCGCAATATTATAAGATGGATACCATTAGATTTCGGGAATGGTCCTTTAAAAGGATGATGTAGTGCAAATGCGTTTCACATGCGAACTATGGCTAACCCTATGGTAGCAGATGGCTACGATGAAAATCCTTTAAATGAACATTACCAATGGATGATTGATAATCATCTGAAAAATGCAGCTTTCTTGTATAATCCTTGGCAAAATGGAACTTATAATTTAAAATATAATTTACCTACTGATTTTTATAATAATCCTGCTTTTCCAGCAGAAAGGAAAACATTTGCAGACAATTTACCATTATCTATTGATAATATTATGTTTAATATGAGATTAAGAGACTATTGTCCAGATCTTCCAGAAGAAGAACTTAACGCCGCCGATGAAGAAGACGGTTATATGGAAGATGATTATGTAAATACTCAAAATTGTACACAAAATGAGAATAAAGATCAAATATTTTATTAATAGAAAATTGGTTCTTCTTCTTTTTTACAATACATTGAAAACAATTCTTCCCACATTAATGGTGTAAATTCGCCTTTTATATCTTTAAGATTATCATGTACAGAAAATTTATAAAAATACATTCTGTTCAATAGTGTCTTTTCTTCGTCAGGCACAAATTGAGACGGCTGATAGTTGGAGCAGCAAATCACCGGCGTTCTTTCCATGAGAATGCTTCTTTTACCCTTTCTGTTTACAAGATGTTCAGTACCCTCGTAAACTTGCTTGATAGATTGCACTATGTCAGGAGTAATTTTCGTCTCTTCGCTGAAGATGACATTGCACTCTAGACACTCTTGGAAAGCAAATTCTCTACTAGTAATCTGCTGACCTACTATCGGTACCATGCTCACTATACTACGACTGATAGTACTCTTGAAAGTATTAGATTTGCCGTATAAATACAAGCAATTTTTTTTTTGCTCCTGTTTCAAGACAACCTTAAACACATCTTGCACAAATTTTTTTACTTTAATATCATTTTTTCTCAAAATACGTCGAAAACATTCTATGCTTTCATCAACGCCTTTTGTTGCGCCTCGTTTTATTGCATTCTCAAACTGTAAACGCCGACTCTCGAAACATTCCCACCAATCCCATGAATGATACACCTTCTTTATTTGCTCGTTTATCTGATTCTCCATTACGCTACGCCTCGGATCGTAAATAAATGAATCAAACTTAAATTCAGTCATGAACCTTGCAGCGTAACTTAAGAATTTACTAACATCTCTAATGCCTAATTTCTGTATAGTACGCTGCAACTCACCCGGGTTTTTGTTAGCTACATTTATCCACCAGTCATCATCTCCATACCTAGCGTCGCCGCCTCTCTTTCTCTTACGTTCGTTATCTCGCATGTCTACTCTACTCTGCATCCTATTTTTTACTTCTTCCTTATTTGCATGTCGCAGCCGCTCGAGAATCTGCTCGTCACCAAAGACTGAAGTTATGTAGCGTCCTTCACACTGCATATACGACTCCATAGACTGCGGTTTAATAATTTGTTGACTTGACCATTCAATTCCTTTTTCATCTTTCATTTTCGCCCATACCCTGTTTGTATTGGAATCAGTGAATTTTCCCTCGCTGTAGTAGACCAGCATATGGAAGTGATTGGTAGGTCTATTTCCAAACAAATTCTGGCATATAGCTTTTTCGTGTTTCATTACAACAACCGTCTGCACCGACGCCGTTCCTTTGCGAACCAAGCGCATAAATTCGTTAAATGCTTTAGCCATCTTATCTGATTCTTCGAATACGAAGCCGTGAAATTTGCAATCTGCTAACTTAAATCGCCGCTGATTAAGAACGAATACAGGATTCTTTACACATTGAATTCCGTTCCAACATGCGAAGTTTCCACGGTCTTCTAAAATATCATCTTTATCTGGAATCTCTATCGGCACCGACACCGCTTTCTCAGGCGTCTTGAAATTGTCTTGTGTAAGAAACGGTAATATTCCATCGACGTCGTCACCGCCGCCGTTAGTTGAAAATGCTTCGTCTTGCATCGCCGCCTCTATTAGAGATTGTAGTTGTGAATGTTCGTCTTCAAAATGAGGGTCTTCATCAAATGCTGCCATCGCTTCAAATGATTGTCGGTGACGGTAAACGTCCTTTTATAATATTGTAATTGATATGCTTATTTACGTAAATCCGGTAGAAAGTATATGGCGTGATGTACAAAGTCCATCACGTGCTATCACGTGGAGGTCAAAGTTCACATGACTCAGCAAAATTACAAGGTCTCTCAAGGTCGATGCTAATAATAGTAACATGTTACTATAAATAGTAAGAAAGGTCAAAGGTCAAGTACCTCTGAAGTTCTGTCCAATGGATATAAAATATGATTTTATTCTAGAAAGTTCACTGTCATAAAAGTTCTGTCCAATGGATATAAAATATGATTTTATTCTAGAACGTTCACTGTCATAAAAGTTCTGTCCAATGGATTTAAAATAAGATTTTATTCTAGAAAGTTCACTGTCATAATCCATTGTAGCAACGCTTTCGTGAAGTCATTATCGAAAATTTGTAGCTTTGAATGCAATAAAAGCAACAAATAAACACTGACCCTCAATTTCACAGTAATAAAGCCATAAATGACTGACTTTACTGATTCTAGCAAAACATCCGGTGGAAACTATCGGTATTCTCCCATTATTATTCGATTTCTGTCGTGAAAATGGTTTGTGACGTAATCAGTCTTCTGACCTATGAACCTGGAATATGACAACAATTCTTTTCACGTCTTGAAAACATTTTGGATTATTATGTAAATGAGGCATAAGAGCGCAATAAGAGGCAATAAAAATTTGCTTTTTCATAAATAGAAAATACGACATCGAAAAGTACATTTGTTCTAATTAGTTAATATTTCAATTATTATTATGTTCACGGCACACTTGTACAAATTATAGATATTTATAATTTATAAGGAATTGAAGGAAGATTTAAATCATACAATTCAATAAGAAAATTCCAATACAAAAGTACGAGTAAAAATATTAAATATTCAGTCTGACATTCTGCTCCATCGACGTCGTCACCGCCGCCGTTAGTTGGAAATGCTTCGTCTTGCATCGCCGCCTCTATCAGAGATTGTACTTGTAATTGTTCGTCTTAAAAAATGAGTGTCTTCATCAAATGCTGCCATCGCTTCGAATGATTGTCGGTGACGGTGAACGTCCTTTTATAATATTGTAATTGATATGCTTATTTACGTAAATCCGGTAGAAAGTATATGGCGTGATGTACAAAGTCCATCACGTGATATCACGTGGAGGTCAAAGTTCACATAACTCAGCAAAATTACAAGGTCTCTCAAGGTCGATGCTAATAATAGTAACATGTTACTATAAATAGTAAGAAAGGTCAAAGGTCAAGTACCTCTGAAGTTCTGTCCAATGGATATAAAATATGATTTTATTCTAGAAAGTTCACTTTCATAAAAGTTCTGTCTAATTTAATAAAATATGATTTTATTCTGGAAAGTTCAATGTCATAAAAGTTCTGTTCAATGGATATAAAATATGATTTTATTCTAGTAAGTTCATTGTCATAAAGTTCTGTCCAATGGATATAAAATATGATTTTATTCTAGAAAGTTCACTGTCATAAAAGTTCTGTCTAATATAATAAAATATGATGCCGAGTCCCAGTAAATGTTGTCCTTTGTGATTCGGTGATGTTCGGCAATGTGATTAGTTTTCGGCATCAACATTGAGCGCATCAACATTGAGCGCATCAAAATTGACCGCATCAACATTGACCGCATCAATATTGACCGCATCAATATTGACCGCATCAAAATTGACCGCATCAAAATTGACCGCATCAAAGTTGACCGCATCAAAATTGATCGCATCAACATTGAGCGCATCAACATTGAGCGCATCAAAATTGACCGCATCAACATTGAGCGCATCAAAATTGACCGCATCAAAGTTGACCGCATCAACATCGACCGCATCAAAATTGACCGCATCAAAGTTGACTGCATCAAAATTGACCGCATCAAAGTTGACCGCATCAAAGTTGACCGCATCAAAATTGACCGCATCAAAGTTGACCGCATCAAAATTGACCGCATCAAAATTGACCGCATCAAAATTGACCGCATCAAAGTTGACCGCATCAAAGTTGACCGCATCAAAGTTGACCGCATCAAAATTGACCGCATCAAAATTGACCGCATCAAAATTGACCGCATCAAAATTGACAGCATCAAAATTGAATTCTGTTCCAACATGCGAAGTTTCCACGGTCTTCTAAAATATCATCTTTATCTGGAATCTCTATCGGCACCGACACCGCTTTCTCAGGCGTCTTGAAATTGTCTTGTGTAAGAAACGGTAATATTCCATCGACGTCGTCACCGCCGCCGTTAGTTGAAAATGCTTCGTCTTGCATCGCCGCCTCTATCAGAGATTGTACTTGTAATTGTTCGTCTTCAAAATGAGCGTCTTCATCAGATGCTGCCATCGCTTCGAATGATTGTCGGTGACGGTGAACGTCCTTTTATAATATTGTAATTGATATGCTTATTTACGTAAATCCGGTAGAAAGTATATGGCGTGATGTACAAAGTCTATCGCGTGGAGGTCAAAGTCAACATGACTCAGCAAAATTACAAGGTCTCTCAAGGTCGATGCTAACAATAGTAACATGTTATAAATAGTAACAAAGGTGAAATGTCAAAGGGCAAGAAAAATCAGCTTCTGAATGAGCGAATTTAATTCTTCACACCAGTTTTATTGTGTAGAATCCCTCCAATAAAAACCTCGCGTGAAAACCGAAAAAAGAAGCTTATTGGCCTGTGACAACCAATCAAATTCATGCATAACAATAAACCAATAGACAACCAGCTCAGGTAACTCGAAACGCGCATTGTTTTGTGGTCTCAAGTGACACGTAATTTGTATTTGTGAACAACAATGCAAAGTCTATATTGTGCTGTTTCTTTTCGCCTTTCAAAGTCAGTTGAGACAACTAAAGACACTACTTCTTTTCAGAAATCAAGTATGGACGTTCAGGAGTATTCTGCCTCTAAAATTTTAGAAAAGAATGCTTTATTTTAGCAGTAATATCGTCGTTAAACTGAAAGGTGACGTTGTTCAACATTCAACGGCGTCAAGTCGAAGTACAAACTGAAAGATTGCATCGACTTGGATTTTACAAAATGGTTAGTAAAACTTAGTATTATTGCAAAATCTGTCATCAGTCACTAACGAAAGCTGACAAGCAAGCTCATTGAAAATAACTGCACAGTGTCTCACAAATTTCTCCCAACGTCGATCGATACATTGAGAAAGAATTACCGGTTACTTATGCCGTATGCGGAAGGTTTTGTCAACAACATCATGACAAAGTAAACTTTCAAGCTAAATTTTGTTGCTTTTTGTTTATGGTAGCGTATCTACGTCCATGTAATCTGAAAACAAAGTTGTTTAGTTGCATTAGAATGAAGCAAATGCTGATGTTCAATGTGCGATAGGCTTTGTTAAAGTTGGCAAAGATGCTTGCATAGACTGCGGTCAAGCAAGCATATGTTATAGTTGCTTCTCACTGTAGCTTTTTGTCGTGTCAAAATACATGATACTTTTCTATTTAATTTTTTCATAAATATTTGTCTGAATCATTTAATACATGGGAACATGCATGCTTCACTGAATTCGACTTAATTTTTCATGAAATAACTCGATGTTTGTAATAGTTCAATTTCAAAGACTCGTGAAATAAAACAATTTCATTTTGTATGACAGTAATCAACCTTCAGTTATAATCAGGGCAAATAGTGATTTTTCTTGTATGTTATTCGGTTAACCAATCAGAATTGCTAAGAAGCGACACCATTGAATTAATGGTCCGTGATCTGTGACCGATTTTCTTTCATTCGTGTTGGAAACTTCCAGAAAGGTTGTGAAAAATTCAAGACAGTACGAGTTTTACATAATTGACATGTTTACGCTAAGATTTACCGAGATTGTCTGCTTTGCAGAAAATTTTGCAATTTCTCATTCCCCCCCGAAGAAAGAGTGAGAAAAACGTATTTTCGTAGTTGGCATTTGACAAGAAAATTAATGATGAAAATCAAGGTAAAAAACTGAAATTCATGACAGCGAGTCAACTGTGGTCGCTAGTTGTCGACTTCTTCTTTCTTCAATCTTTCAACCTCGATGATACCTCTAATTGCTTCATCTTTGTTACTTGCATTAAAAATCTTTACTTCTTGATTAGTTTGGTCCCCTGCATCATTACAATGTGAAAAATTCTGCCTAAACCAACCGTTTAGGTAGTTTTCATTGTACGGAAAAAGAGGAAAGGCGTTATTCGTAAATATAGTGCACTTAAAAAATTTCTTAACGTAGGTTCCAAGTAAAACTGTCATTGATTGATCATCAAGATGAGACAGAATAAGCGAGAGTGCATTTTCTCCTTCACTTTTCATGATCTCTTTTTCAACCAACTCATTCGACATGTAAAGCAAGCTCACAATATCGTACATATCAGTTCTAGCGAAAGGAATTCGCTCAGGTCTTTTTTGGAACATAGCAGTGAATCGTTTGGTTGTATTGTGGTACAGCATTATTCTTTTGTGGATAAATGGTGTAGACGTCTCTCATTATTGATTTTGGCAAACAAGGAGGCATTCATTGGTTGTATTGTGGTACAGCATTATTCTTTTGTGGATAAATGGTGTAGACGTCTCTCATTATTGATTTTGGCAAACAAGGAGGCATTCTAAAGAACATCATAGATACTCTTACAAAAATAACATAAATTAAAAGCATTTGAGAAAATGAATTACATAATTAGAAACATTTCAAATATTTAAAGCGAGGACGTCGATACGTTCACAATGGCTGCAGTTGTAAACGTTTATTTATTTGCATTAAAATTCCTTCAAAGCTTATGAAGAAATCGCAATACAAAGGTTTCACGACAATGAATCTAGCGGACAAATTTATATTTTTAGTGGTTTGCATATTATGATACAAACATGACACTTTCAATGCGAAGCTAGTATACAGTTGATTTCGTGTTTTTATTTTGAGCAACGTTGGCAATCATCGAACAGATTTGCAAATTTGATCGGGAACTTTCGAGAAACATAAGCACTTTTAAACAAACTTGAAAGTATTACGCGAAAAAGTTGAGATAAATCGAATGTAACATGCACCAATGAACCACAGTTATGAGGAAGAGATGAGCACTTGTGCTATGTGGCTACATCATTTATAATCTAATACCAAAGAATGAATTATTACTGTCAACAAATTTATAGTGTATGATAAACAAGCTAGAATGTAATTTCTGATCTCTATTTAATGACGACTTTGAAAGTTTTAAAACGATAAATTTACACTAAATTGTTTGCACTCAAGGGAACTTTAAATTCCTTTGTCATTAAAGTGCGCAATAGATTTGTTACAATCAAAGCAAAGGAGCCAATACATACTTCAAAACTTATCACACGATTCTCACTTAAGCGTGACTTAAATATTATAAAACATGTTTCGATGTTAAAAGTGTTCAGGAAATTGACGCTTCCTGGTTATAACTGGTTTAAACATTTTCATGTTTCACATAAGTACATGTTTGTTCGTCTATATTTCGACACGGCGCATGAAACCGGTCAAAGAATAGATATTTGAAGCTATTGACGATAGCCCAGCACAATTTCCTTTGTATGATGAAAGTTGTCACAATTATACCCAAATGCGTTGAGCATAGTTGCATTTACATATAAAGATTTCTTTGGTTTCGCTTTTATTGTTGGAACGACAACGTATACTGACGTCGTATTCATCAAAATTTACAAAATTTCATTCTAACGTTAACTAAGAATGTTTACTTACTTTTACAGAAGGATAGCAGCTGGTATTTGACAATTTTTATCTATCTACGAACTGAGGAGCTTTGATGGACGACGTACTTTTCAGCAAGAAATGACAAGAACGCATCTCTCTGTCGGTACCAGTACCAAATTCAAGTCTTCCATAAAATCCTCTGTTGGCAAATGTTGCAAATTTGGTTGTAGCAAATTAGAAAAACCTGTCAAGGAGATATTTCTGAAAAACGACAGTTATTACTGTCATCTCCTTCGTTATCAGTGACGTTTCCTAAATGGCGGATCTAGTGTACCTCAAAATAAGTTAAAGCTCCTAAATTTTAAATTCAAATTATATTAGAAAAAAACTATTGGTTTTTAATTTCTAAAGAATATAATTTTACGAATGGATTAGTCTCTAAGGTGTTTAGAAATGTAAATATATACAAAAATGTACTGCAGTAATTTATTTTGACGTAGTCTGGATCCGGCACTGCCTGAGCCAAACATTTTTTCCTTCGGCAGGGAAAGTTGTTGAAAAAAACGTAAAACTGTGTACCATAGAACATTAAAAATTTCTTTTGGCCATAGGTAAACACTACGGAGAATTTACTAGAATTTAGTAGACTATGCAGTCTTTACAGCGTTCTATAAGGCATATTCTAAAATTGCATATTCTGAGAAACGTTTCACTTCCACAACGTGGAACTTTTCTGATGGGGAAATGTTGACATGGCAACCGTTGTCTAAACAGGCTGAAAGTAACTAGTTATCTTCGTGCAACCGGCCCTTTGTTACGTAAATTTTAGAAATCGTTCATAAAAAGTCATAGTATTTAGTAAGTTAGAACAATATTGGGCTTTCCATAGTCTATCGAATAGTGCAGGAAATGAAAAAAGATTGTTACGATGGTTACGAGGCATATATAAATAAAAAATCAAAAAAAGATCATTTACAAAATTAGCACATAAACAAATTTACTTATTATACAAATGTGATAGAGTTTATGCTATCTAATTAGCTATTATTATAACCACTTTTGACTCCATGGTTTGTGCATTTGCAGAAAGAAAATATTTTTATACATACATAGTCAAACTTACAGTTCATCAGGAACTGATGGTAGATTTAAATCATACATTTCAACACTTAAGTCCAAATATAAAACCTCAAGCATGATATTAAAATGTTCAGCATAATTGTCAACTTCTGATTCCATCCCTCCTTGATCTTCTACAAGATTCTCCTGCAGAACGTTTTCTTCGCGGGAATTGTTTTCGTCTTGTTGCTCATGCTCCAGTCCTTCATGATTTTCGTCTTTGTTTCTATTCTCATCCTCATTTGATTCAAAAATGGAATTTTTATCGTTTTTGTTCATATCTTTATTTTACATATGCTAACGTGATTCGCAAATTTTACCAACAAATGTTGCTTTCGACGAGGAGATGCTCCGTCACAAGCCAGCTGCCACTGAATTGTTTCCTAATCCAACGGACGCCTTATATATCAGTGCCTTGCTATGTACGCGATGAATCGCTAAAAATTGCACCAATCACATTCTTCCAGTCGAATGTCAATTGCAGAAAAGACCAGAAAACCGGATACTCAGCAGGATACTGAGTCGCAGATACTCAGCGACTCAGTAAAAACTGCACCAATCACATTTATCCAGTCGAATGTCAATTGCAGAAAAGACCAGAAAACCGGATACTCAGCAGGATACTGAGTCGCAGATACTCAGCGACTCAGTAAAAACTGCACCAATCACATTCATCCAGTCGAATGTCAATTGCAGAAAAGACCAGAAAACCGGATACTCAGCAGGATACTGAGTCGCAGATACTCAGCGACTCAGTAAAAACTGCACCAATCACATTCATCCAGTCGAATGCCAATTGTAGAAAAGACCGGAAAGCCGGACATGGCAAAATGCCAAAATTGGGAAAGCGAAGCCCCGAGAGAAACATTATAAGTAGTGATGCTGTGATGTTGTGATGTGCGAGTTGTCGAAACGTCAGTCAACAACAACAAAAACAGTCCTTCTCAGGACTGTACCAACCTGGACGATCTACATTTACAAACATGTAACGATACTCTCGGGTTCAAACCATTTACTTTAACCAGTAAATGATTTGTGAACTCGGCAATATTTAGGTGTACATCAATCTATGACGACGAAAGTCGCCAATTCTTCCAACATTCGCTAACCTTTGTGTCGAATCACTCTAATGTATTTGGATTTATCTTACTTGAAATTTATTTCTATAAATGTGTTTCTATCAATGCATTCACAATTTCAAACTTGTCAGAGTTTTCATTATACAGCACTGAAGATGGCATAAGTTTGCCGAAACATGTTTGCAATAAAAAATTTAAAAAAAGTTGTCGTTTGCGTTAAATGCATCATTTCAGTCGTGCCATTACGAAATTATGGAAATTGGAAAATAGTGTTAAAATGTTGAATTTGTTTGTTAACATCGGGTGTTTGTTTGCGTGTGTCTAAGGCTTCTTTGAGATTTAGAGAAAATTGAGTGTAATGTTCAAATTTTTCTCCATAACACTTATGATATTTGCCGTGTAAATACCACTAATATTTCATCACACCTTTTCCTTTTACTGATTAACGCGTATCAAGCATCCTATGATAAATTCAGCATTTTAAATAACTTTACTTTATTCTTCATTTCAATCGTGCCATTACGAAATTATGGAAATATTCATGTAGTTGTAAATATAGGGGAAGTCCCTGATCCAGGATGCAAAAAATTGCGCATGAAAAATTTGATGTTTGAAAGTTTAAAAAGTTGAATGATTCTGAAAAGAGTTTATGTAATTTAATTTTTGTTCATTATTATTTTATTTACTTAAAATCGAAATCGAACTAACGTGATTGAACAGTTATAATAAAATTTACAACTTCCTCATTCCGAAGATTCCGTTCTCAAAACAAATGTGAGAAAACAGGAATGTGAGAAAACAGGAATGTGAGAAAACAGGAATGTGAGAAAACAGGAAGGTGAGAAAACAGGAATGTGAGAAAACAGGAATGTGAGAAAACAGGAATGTGAGAAAACAGGAATGTGAGAAAACAGGAATGTGAGAAAACAGGAAGGTGAGAAAACAGGAATGTGAGAAAACAGGAAGGTGAGAAAACAGGAAATCACTTTCGTTCACAAAACGAAAGTGATTTCCTTCAAACTATTGCTTCATTGTGTCGAATGAATAAAATGCGATGAATTTGAGAAACACTGGCACTTTTGTAGACGTCGACATAATAATTCTTAAAGCTGTATAGTTTTTACTGTTGACACAAAAGACAAGAAGAAAAATTTATACAAATTAATGAAAAAATTCGCTACAACATGGTAATGTGCATTTTTGATCGACCATATATATTACAGTTGTGTTTACTCGTTTTTTCACCAACAGCAACAAGACACAAGTTTTTATGTCGGCGTCCCCGAAATACACGACGTTCTAGAATTCATTAAATAAAAAACCCTTCAGATAAACTTGTCTATGCCAGTATTCTGTTGTAGAACCAAAAGAAGTAAAATATTATCATAGTTGTTTCACGTACGTTGGATAAGCAATGTCACCTTACGAGAGCAATTTCTCTCCCCCCCTCATCCCCCCCCAACCAACCATACCACACTCGACCATTTCACCTGCCTGGCTAACTTAGGATGCTGGTGATCCTCAGTAGCACATTGTTATCCTTTCTCACGACAACTCAGTGACGCTGATAGTCTTGTGGTCTAACTAAGGATGCTTGTGATCCCCAGTAGCACATTGTTATCCCTTCTCTACCCAACTCAATCAACCTTCAGCTGTGTGCCATTCAATTATACGAATGTCTAAATTCTGCATTTCACAAAAAACTCTTAGACACTGTGACCAATAGAGCAATGTAGGAACAAACATGTCTTTGAACCATAAAATTTTTAAAAAGGTTGAGAAGTAAATTGTTGGGTATTTTCTTTTCATTCAATACATAAATATATACAATAAGTACTTGGTACAACAAATAAAATAGATAAAATTGATTGACTGTATAAATTACAATTGTTCATTTATCCAATTCCTAATTGATTTATCATTGACTTCTGCAGCAGCCACTGTTTCTTGACATGGCCAATGAGGGACTCTCATTTTTTCTTGTTTCACAGCAAGACATCTGTCAACGTGTTGTGGACTAAAAATGTGAATGAACATGTTATCAAAGATTAATCTGAAAATCTTTCAAACATTTTTAAACGAAACAGAAGTAAACCAATCGAACCAATTTTCTAAAAGAATGTTTGAATTTTGTTTAAGAACCAGAAGTCCTGTGTTAAGGACGTCAAGGCCCTTTACCAAGAATGTCTAAAAAAACCACTGATCTAATATAGGACTGGATGACACATTTAATATAAAACTAGTCAAACAATTACATTAATATTTGCGACTTTAAGCCTTTCTGTGATTCTGATCATAAAAATTTTCCTATCGTGATGATAGAAGAATGTGACAGTTTGGCAAAGCATTCTTAAAATAAAAAATTTAATAATTTTAAATAAATAAAATGCAGTGAACTATGGCATTTTAATCAGAGGCAAAAAGAATGACATTAAGTTAAAATGTTGAAAACTAGGTACAACAGCACTGACTAAACAAGATCGGCCATGCATAATGATTTTGAATGCCAAGTTAGTTCTTTATTAGACTTGAATACAACTGCAAAAACACAACGATAATGAACCACCACATGAAAACATGTTTTACTCTGCTATTATATTCAAAAAGTTCTTTTAGATGGGTCTTTCAAAGGCAGTATAACCTTCCATAACTACTGTGCTACCTTGGTTTGATTATACTGTACAAAACTAAAACTGTGTTATTAACATTTTGAGAAATTGAAATATTTTGAACGTTGCTTGTAGTATGTGTGCATATATAAATATTTTAATGGTCGTATGATAGAATTTCTATGGTGTACTTACAAAACAACACATCTTTAGTGGAAGAGCTAAAGTAACATATTCTTAATATAACAGAAGACAACCTAACCAAAAACTGGGTTAAGTGTAAAATGCATTTTAACGTAGAATGACAAGGTCATGTTGATGTACTGCATTGACATACAAATAACAATGTCTGTAATTACAAGTGAGATGTATTGGGAAAGAAATAATGCAAAATGTGCATTCTTATTTATACAAAAATTATGATGTACAACACTGGATGAATAGAACTTAAATGAATGAAGATAATAATGCAAAAGACTTTACAAAACATCCGCATAAAAGAACTATTCATTTTTAACATCGAAACAAAAATTTGTTTGGTCGTTTGAATGGGATTAGTGAATGTGAGCTGTAGATGTAAGTTAATGTTTTAAATTTTGAAACACTTACTGTAAAGGTTCTTTAGTACCTTAAAAACATACTAAAACGATGAGCAAGTTGTCAGCACCATTTTTTTAAGGGCTTAACAAGATTTAAGTCGCCATTTTCCATTCTGAAGATGATAGTTTAAGCAGTTGATTGCATTAAATTTCGAACTAATTTCGAGATGAACTGCGTTTCGACTCATTTAGTTTGTATTTAACTTACAGTGAATAATCCTTCACCGTATTCAGAACAACCTTGTGTTTCAAAGAAATTGTTTTCCCTTTCGAATTTGAGATGGAGTTCAATGTTTACATCTACATATCGATTCATTGCGTAATCCAGCCTATACTAAGATCAATGGTGAAGACTCGCTTTTACACTAATGCGCATGCGTTAGCAATAGGTGTTGAAAACTGCAGGGCTCACCACAAGCATTATGCGTGTAAAAAAGCATAAATCTAAGGAAATTACTGACACAGTAAAATTAATTTAAAATAAAAAATAAAAGTAAAAAAATAAAAAAAAATGAAAATAAAAATAATTAAAAATTAAAATAAAAAAATTAAAAGTAAAAAATTAAAAGTCGTAAAATAAATATGTAATAAAATAGAAAAGTATATATAATAAAATAGTAATAACACATAGAAATTCTACTACGTCACGACCATAGCTGATGACGATTTTTTATATATACTTTCAATAACAAAAAAAATTCAAAGCGACGTACCTCATGTTAAAGCAAGAAGAATCCACTTCTGAATGATCGGATTTAATTCTTCACGCCAGTTTTATTGTGTAGAATCCTTCCAATTGCGTGAAAACCGAAAAAAGAAGCTTATTGGCCTGTGACAACCAATCAAATTCATGCATAACAATAAACCAATAGACAACGAGCTGGTGGCACGACATGTAAGCGTAATTTTGTATTTGTGGACGACAATGCAAAGTCTATATTGTGCTGTTTCTTTTCGCCTTTTAAAGTCAGTTGAGACAACTAAAGACGCTATTTCTTTTCAAAAATCAAGTATGGACGTTCAGGAGTATTCTGCCTCTGCAATTTTAGAAAAGACTGCTTTATTTTAGCAGTAATATCGTCGTTAAACTAAAAGGTGACGTTGTTCAACATCCAATGGCGTCAAGTCGAAGTACAAACTGAAAGATTGTATCGACTTGGATTTTACGAGATGATTAGTAAAACTTAGTATTATTGCAAAATCTGTCATCAGTCACTAACGAAAAGCTGACAAGCAAGCTCATTGAAAATAACTGCACAGTGTCTCACAAATTTCTCCCAACGTCGATCGATACATTGAGAAAGAATTACCGGTTACTTATGCCGTATGCGGAAGGTTTTGTCAACAACATCATGACAAAGTAAACTTTCAAGCTAAAATTTTGTTGCTTTTTGTTTATGGTAGCGTATCTACGTCTATGTAATCTGAAAATAAAGTTATTTAGTTGCATTTGAATGAAGCAAATGGTGACGTTCAATGTGCGATAGGCTTTGGTAAAGTTCGCAAAGATGCTTGCGTAGACTGCTGTCAAGCATATGTTGTAGATGCTTCTCACTGCAGCTTTTTGTCGTGTGAAAATACTGGATACTTTTCTATTTAATTTTATCAACAATATTTGTCTGAATCATTTAATACATGGGAACATGCATGCTTCACTAAATTCGACTTAATGTTTCATGAAATAACTCGATGTTTGTAATAGTTCAATTTCAAAGACTCGTGAAATAAAACAATTTCATTTTGTATGACAGTAATCAACCTTCAGTTATAATCAGGGCAAATAGTGATTTTTCTTGTATGTTATTCGGTTAACCAATCAGAATTGCTAAGAAGCGACACCATTGAATTAATAGTCCGTGATCTGTGACCGATTTTCTTTCATTCCTGTTGGAAACTTCCAGAAGGTCGTGAAAAATTCAAGACAGTACGAGTTTTACATAATTGACATATTTACGCTAAGATTTACCGAGATTGTCTGCTTTGCAGAAAATTTTGCAATTTCTCATTCTCCCCCGAAGAAAGAGTGAGAAAAACGTATTTTCGTAGTTGGCATTTGACAAGAAAATTAATGATGAAAATAAAGGTAAAAAACTGAAATTCATGACAGCGAGTCAACTGTGGTCGCTAGTTGTCGGCTTCTTCTTTCTTCAATCTTTCAACCTCGATGATACCTCTAATTGCTTCATCTTTGTTACTTGCATTAAAAATCTCTACTTCTTGATTAGTTTTGCCCTCTGCATCATTAAAATGTGAAAAATTCTGCGTAAACCAACCGTTTAGGTAGTTTTCATTGTACGGAAAAAGAGGAAAGGCGTTATTCGTAAATATAGTACACTTGAAAAATTTCTTAATGTAGGTTCCAAGTAAAACTGTTATTGATTGATCATCAAGATGAGACAGAATAAGCGAGAGTGCATTTTCTCCTTCACTTTTCATGATCTCTTTTTAACCAACTCATTCGACATGTAAAGCAAGCTCACAATATCGTACATATCAGTTCTAACGAAAGGACTTCGCTCAGGTCTATTTTGGAACATAGCAGTGATCGTTTGGTTGTATTGTGGTACAACATTATTCTTTTGTGGATAAATGGTGTAGACGTCTCTCATTATTGATTTTGACAAACACGGAGGCATTCATTGGTTGTATTGTGGTACAGCATTATTCTTTTGTGGATAAATGGTGTAGACGTCTCTCCTTATTGATTTTGATAAACACGGAGGCATTCATTGGTTGTATTGTGGTACAGCATTATTCTTTTGTGGATAAATGGTGTAGACGTCTCTCATTATTGATTTTGGCAAACAAGGAGGCATTCTAAAGAACATCATAGATACTCTTACAAAAATAACATAATTAAAAGCATTTCAGAAAATGAACTACATAATTAGAAACCTTTCAAATATTCAAAGCAAAAACGTCGATACGTTCACATTCACAATGGCTACAGTTGTAAACGTTTATTTATTTGCATTAAAATTCCTTCAAAGCTTATGAAGAAATCGCAATACAAAGGTTTCACGACAATGAATCTAGCGGACAAATTTATATTTTTAATGGTTTGCATATTATGATACAAACATGACACTTTCAATGCGAAGCTAGTATACAGTTGATTTCATGTTTTTATTTTGAGCAACGTTGGAAATCATCGAACAGATTTGCAAATTTGATCGGGAACTTTCGAGAAACATAAGCACTTTTGAAAAAACTTGAAAGTATTACGCGAAAAAGTTGAGATAAATGGAATGTAACATGCTCCAATGCACCACAGTTATGAGGAAGAGATGAACACTTGTGCTATGTGGCAATATCTTTGATAATCTAATACCAAAGAAATATTATTACCGTCAACAAATTTATAGTGTATGATCAACAAGCTAGAATGTAATTTCTGATCCATATTTAATGACGACTTTAAAAGTTTTAAAACGATAAATTTACACTAAATTGTTTGTACTCAAGGGAACTTTAAATTCCTTTGTCATTAAAGTGCGCAATAGATTTGTTACAATCAAGGCAAAGGAGTCAATACATACTCCAAAACTTATCACACGATTCTCACTTAAACGTGACTTAAATATTATAAAACATGTTTCGATGTTAAAAGTGTTCAGGAAATTGACGCCTCCTGGTTATAACTGGTTTAAACATTTTCATGTTTCACATAAGTACATGTTTGTTCGTCTATATTTCGACACGGCGCATGAAACCGGTCAAAGAATAGATATTTGAAGCTATTGACGATAGCCCAGCACAATTTCCTTTGTATGATGAAAGTTGTCACAACTATACCCAAATGCGTTGAGCATAGTTGCATTTACATATAAAGATTTCTTTGGTTTCGCTTTTATTGTTGGAACGACAACGTATACTGACGTCGTATTCATCAAAATTTACAAAACTCCATTCTAACGTTAACTAAGAATGTTTACTTACTTTTACAGAAGGATAGCAGCTGGTATTTGACAATTTTTATCTATCTACGAACTGAGGAGCTTTGATGGACGACGTACTTTTCAGCAAGAAATGACAAGAACGCATCTCTCTGTCGGTACCAGTACCAAATTCAAGTCTTCCATAAAATCCTCTGCTGGCAAAAGTTGCAAATTTGGTTGTAGCAAATTAGAAAAACCTGTCAAGGAGATATTTCTTAAAAACGACAGTTATTACTGTCATGTCCTTCGTTATCAGTGACGTCTCCTCAAAGGCGGATCTAGTGTACCTCAAAATAAGTTATAGCTACTAAATTTTAAATTCAAATTATATTCAGAAAAAAACTATTGGTTTTTTATTTCTAAAGAATATAATTTTACGAATTGATTAGCCTCTAAGGTGTTTAGAAATGTAAATATACACCAAAATGTACTGCAGTAATTTATTTTGATGTAGTCAGGATCCGGCACTGCCTGAGCCAAACGTTTTTTCCTTCGGCAGGAAAAGTTTTTGAAAAAACGTTAAACTGTGTACCCTGGAACATTAAAAATTTCTTTTGGCCAGAGGTAAACACCACGGAGAATTTACTAGAATTTACTAGACTATGCAGTCTTTACAGCGTTCTATAAGGCATATTCTCGAATAGCATATTCTGAGAAACGTTTCACTTCCACAACGTGTAACTTTTCTGATGGGGAAATGTTGACATGGCAACCGTTGTCTAAACAGGCTGAAAGTAACTAGTTATCTTCGTGCAACCGGCCCTTTGTTACGTAAATTTTAGAAATCGTTCATAAAAGGTCATAGTATTTAGTAAGTTAGGACAATATTGGGCTTTCCATAGTCTATCGAATAGTACAAGAAATGAAAAAAGATGGTTACGATGGTTACGAGGCATATATCAATAAAAAAATCAAAAAAAGATCATTTACAAAATTAGCACATAAACAAATTTACGTATTATACAAATGTGATATAGTTTATTCTATCTAATTAGCTATTATTTTAACCACTTTTGACTCAATGGTTTGTGCATTTGCAGAAAGAAAATATTTTTATACATACATAGTCAAACTTACAGTTCATTAGGAATTGATGGTAGATCTAAATCATATATTTCAACACTTAAGTCCAAATATAAAACTTCAAGCAAGATATTAAAAAGTTCAGCATAACTGTCAACGTCTGATTCCATCCCTCCTTGATCTTCTACAAGACTCTCCTGCAGAACGTTTTCTTCATGAGAATTGTTTTCTTTTTGTTGCTCATGCTCCAGTCCTTCGTGATTTTCGTCTTTATTTCTATTCTCATCTTCATTTGATTCAAAAATGGAATTTTTATCGTTTTTGTTCATATCTTTATTTTACATATGCTAATGTGACTCGCAAACTTTACAAAGAAATGTTGCTTTCGACGAGGAGATGCTCCGTCGCAAGCCAGCTGCCACTGATTTGTTTCCTAATGCAACAGACGCCTTATATATCAGTGCCTTGCTATGTACGCGATGAATCGCTAAAAACTGCACCAATCACATTCATCCAGTCGAATGTCAATTGCAGAAAAGACCAGAAAACCGGATACTCAGCAGGATACTGAGTCGCAGATACTCAGCGACTAAGTAAAAACTGCACCAATCACATTCATCCAGTCGAATGCCAATTGCAGAAAAGACCAGAAAACCGGATACTCAGCAGGATACTGAGTCGCAGATACTCAGCGACTAAGTAAAAACTGCACCAATCACATTCATCCAGTCGAATGCCAATTGTAGAAAAGACCGGAAAGCCGGACATGGCAAAATGCCAAAATTGGGAAAGCGAAGCCCCGAGAGAAACATTATAAGTAGTGATGCTGTGATGTTGTGATGTGCGAGTTGTCGAAACGTCAGTCAACAACAACAAAAACAGTCCTTCTCAGGACTGTACCAACCTGGACGATCTACATCTACAAACATGTAACGATACTCCCGGGTTCAAACCATTTACTTTAACCAGTAAATGGTTTGTGAACTTGGCAATATTTAGGTGTACATCAATCTATGACGACGAAAGTCGCCAATTCTTCCAACATTCGCTAACCTTTGTGTCGAATCACTCGAATGTATTTGGATTTATCTTACTTTAAATTTATTTCTATAAATGTGTTTCTATCAATGCATTCACAATTTCAAACTTGTCACATTTTTCATTATACCGCACTAAAGATGGCATAAGTTTGCCGAAACATGTCTGCAATAAAAATCTTAAAAAAAGTTGTCGTTTGCGTTAAATGCATCATTTCAGTCGTGCCATTACGAAATTATGGAAATTGGAAAATAGTGTTAAAATGTTGAATTTGTTTGTTAAGATCTGGTTTTTGTTAGCGTGTGTCTAAGGCTTCTTTGAGTTTTAGAGAAAATTGAGTGTAATATTCAAATTTGTCTCCATCACACTTATGATATTTGCCGTGTAAATATCACTAATATTTCATCAAACCTTTTCCTTTTACTAATTAACACGTATCAAGCATCCTATGATAAATTTAGCATTTTAAATAACTTTACTTTATTCTTCATTTCAATCGTGCCATTACGAAATTATGGAAATATTCATATGGTTGTAAATATAGGGGAAGTCCCTGATCATGATGCAAAAAATTGCGCATGAAAAATTTCATGTTTGAAAGTTTAAAAAGTTGAATGATTCTGAAAAGAGTTTATATAATTTAATTTAAGTTCATTATTATTTTATTTACTTAAAATCGAAATCGAACTAACGTGATTGAACAGTTATAATAAAATTTACAACTTCCTCATTCCGAAGATTCCGTTCACAAAACGAAAGTGATTTCCTTCAAACTATTGCTTACATTTGTGTCGAAAGAATAATATGTAATGAATTTGAGAAACACTGGCACTTTTGTAGACGTTGACATAATAATTTTTAAAGCTGTATATTTTTTACTGTTGACACCAAAGACACAAAGAAAAACTTATGCAAATTAATGAAAAAATTCGCCACAACATGGTAATGTGCATTTTTGATCGACCATATATATTAAAGTTGTGTTTACTCGTTTTTTTCGTCAACATCTTAATACCCTTCCGTGTTTGAAATTTCAAATATTCTCAGTTTCATTTGATGATATATAAAGTTAGAGAGTAGCAATAGAAATTTTCAACGAACTTCACTGACTGTATAAGTTCTGATACAAAACAAAGGTGAACGTCGAGATTAAATTAAGATGAAATTTAACTTTCATTTCAACGACTACACATTTACAATAGTTTCGCGAAGGTCCAATTCATCTCAAGCTAAATATTTGAGGCTGTATTTTAACCATAATGGACTTTAAATAAATTTTCTCTCGAAATACTGACCATGAAACATATATTTCTAATAGTAACATGAAAGATTGATATCTGTGTTGGGTTTGAATATAATTGAAGTTTAACTAAATGCAGTTCAAGTCAACTGCAGGGTCGTGTAAGATAAAAATAAAACATCAGTATGTGTCTTTTAAAATGTTTTAAAACAAACCACAATCATTTATGCTTCATCTTGTTTTTCTTCATCATCAGGATTATCATCATCACCATCAACTTCTGCATTTTGACGTTCAAAATTTTCCAGTTCCTTTGCAAAGTCTGCTTCATCCATATCTGTGACAACCTTTGGCTGAAGAGATAAAAATGATAATCAATGATAGTAATTTATAGCTTAAATTTATCATTTGAAATCAACAAATTTCTTGTATGAATGAAAAGTCATGGCAATAGGATTTACAAGTACATTTCAACCCCTAATCTTGATTGGCATGTATCTGACATAATAAGAACTGACAAAATAAACACAAAAGTAGATTGCTAAGCTCTTGGTCAGTAATGATCAAGGTAAAAAATCTGTGGGTAAAGTGAAGGTTCGAATCAACAATTGACTTGTAATGTGTAAATCACACAATGACTTGCAAGGTATGGGGAGATATGTGGATAATACGATGATTGCATGAGGATGATATATAGTGATCGTACTAGGTTGATATGGTATGGTATGAGGATCACATGGTGGTAGTACAAAGATGATGCGGTGATGATTTGAGGATGATATGGTATGATATGAGGATCATATGGTGGTAGTACAAAGATGATGTAGTGATGGTTTGAGGATGATATGGTATGGTATAAGGTTCACATGGTGGTAGTACGAAGATGGTATAAAGATGATAACAAGGTGTTAAGGGCATAATATGCACAAGGGATAAAATGATACAGAGATTGATAATAGAAAGTTTGAAGGACGGTACTTTATACTTAGAACAAATGTACCTTTCTTGTTCATAATGACTTCTTCAATGGTTTTGATTGAAGTTTCTAAAGCTTTTAAACCTTCTTCTCAATTCATTGTTGTTGTCATGACAACATAGGTAGGTGGTGAACTACGATTTATCTTAAAGAACAAGACAATTTATTCGTAAATAATCGCTGTGCTCTGTACAATCTTAACTTTAATTTTACAAACAAAATTTCCTAAACATACATACAAAAATATACAGAAAATAAACATTTGAACATATTTATTCATACTTGACACAAACCTTATAAGATCAAGCACAGAATGAATGTATTGCTTCTACTTTTTCTTCGTTTGGTTCAGTTTTTTTCACGTTAACATTTCCAAGTTTAACACAAATAACTAAAATATTCCTCATAATGGCGGCTAAAATTGTTGTCATAAGGCATGGCACGAAATGCCACAGAGTGGATAACGTTTTATTTACAATAAACAGAGAAAGACAAAGAAAATAAACTCATTTTTAGTTCATTTTCAATGTTACCAAGTCAGTTTTCATAAATTCAAAAATATAATGTTCATTCTCAGTTGTTTGTTGACTAGTTCACAGTCCTCTGACCGAGCGCAATGAATAATTATCATTGCTAAATGTTTAAAATTCTATATGATAAATTAAAATAGACAGATTCATTGATTGTCAATCTATTAATAGAGCACACAAAGCAAAGAGATGCTAGGCAACCAAATTAATCAAAATATTGATATTTAAAATTATCGTTTGCTACACTCAACAAGATATAAATTATTATTGCTATAATAATTATCATTGCTAAATGTTTAAAATTCTATATGATAAATTAAATTAGACAGAATCATTGATTGTCAATCTAATAATAGAGCACACAAAGCAAAGAGATGCTAGGCAACCAAATTAATCAAAATATTGATATTTAAAATTATCGTTTGCTACACCCAAAAATATCTTTTTCCTAAAATAAAAATACAGAGAAAATCCCAAAGCTCTCAAAAAATCCAAGATTTTTGGTTTCGATTTCAAAAGTTCGTAAAATTGTTTGCTTTGAAAGTAAGAACATATTCAATATTTAAGATCATCGACTTGTAATAAACTATCGAATAAGTCCGACTAAACAAGAGAGAAATTCAACATTCAACAAGATAGAAATAAATTAAATAGTCCATTCAAATATTCTGCATGTGTATGACAGTGTACAATATCTTCTCGCTGTTTTTTAACAGTAACCCGACTTTACCATCATTATTTGGCTTGTTTTGAAATCAACTGCTTAGGAACACTTCGAGAGAAAACGATGAACGATTACATCGAAAATTATCATTTCATTCAAAGTTAATAATGACATAAATAGAAAAATAAATATATCTTTACTTACAAAAATTTAAGGAAAGTTATTAAATAGCTACATTAATTAATTGTCAATAAGTTACACAAGATGTAAACAAATATGTCCTTGAAAGTTTCCGTTTTTGAAACAAGATGCGTTTTCAAGTGCTTACATTTTACACTATTATATAGTGAATGGTTATTTTTACGATAATATATTGAATGGTTCTTTCTATACTTGAGACAGTTTTAAACTTAGATAAATTCCTTGCTATCTTTTGTTTTAAATGCATTCGGCTCAAGTAAAATGCGACGTTTGAAAAACGCACCTGAAAATTGGCAACTAATACATTCTGATTTAAACTTCTTCTTGTGTTGACTGAACATTCAACACAAAATCATCCAGCGCTTCCATCGTATATCCATGTTCTCTTATCAAATCCAAGACATGAGGTAAAAACTCGAATTCTTCAATAAGAGTCTCTTGTATGGGATGACGTCTTCCCCTCTTTTCTATTCCTGACGTCACTTCTACAAGATTATGGTGAACATTTTGTTCACCAACGCTTACTTCATGTTCCCCATGTTCCAACCTTCTCTTGTTGTTGAATTTCTTGCAAAGCTTGCAACCCATGTCTATGCTGGTATAAAATGAAGATAAAAAGTCTTTATTCACGAAACTTTTCCATGCAAGACTTTAAAAGTTAATCGATAATGTTTAAAATTTGATTTTAATCTTACAGACAACCAAAGTATTTGATACACGATCGCGTAAAAAGTATAGGAAAGAGGGATTCTGACTGGTGATGCCATAAAGTCATTGCATTGTTTTGCCAGTTTTGCCAACTATTCTAATCCACAAATATGGCGCATATATAATCAAACATTGTTCTGAACGAGTGAGCGCCTTGTTTTATCCACTGGTTATTATGAAACAAAATAAAACAAATTCCGAAAACAGACATCTCGTTTTCCTGATAATCAAGATGATGTCCATCTTTTGTTTTAAAACTCTTGTACCATCTTGAATATCAAGAAAACGGGATGTCTATTTTCGAAATTTGTTTTATATGAAATTATCAGCTCGTCCTGGTTACTTGTTTTACTAGTGTTTGTTATATCCAATGGCTATAACAGCAGGGGCAAAACTGAATACATAATACACTCCGCCCTCGCAACAGATTTCACAAGCGCCTTAAGCGACCGTAATGGAAAACCGCCTTAAGAAAGGTAAGGAATTGATAAACCGCGTCAAGGCGTCAGAAAATCCAAAACTAGCTAGTACTACGCAATGGAAATCCAGCAATTTTGTACAAATTCACTAAGTTTAATAATAATAAATCAAATCTTATATAATAGCTTTAGCTAAATGAGGACAAAAAATTCAGCTCGAGTAAAAAGGTAACGTATTAACATAATGTGTGGTGGAACATGTTCTAAATGTAATAAAAAAGTCAGACTTACCTGCTCTCGGGAAATCAAGTTAACCGAAAATAGGAAAAAATAGAAATTGAAAATTGTTTTAATTCGTTGAGTTTTTCATGCACTTGAGTCCGTGCGTTCTGTGTCTCTATCATCAACAATATAGTCCGCGTGAGTTTTGTCCATCCTGTTATTTACGTTATCCGGTTAAGCAATCAGAATGCGTTGCTAACAAGCGACACTATTGAATTTATAGTCCGTGATCTGTGACCGATTTTCTTTCATTCCCGTTGGACACCTCCAGAAGGTCGTGAAAAATTCAAGAGAGTACGAGTTTTACATGCTTAATACAGTTTTACTTCTTTTCATCTCCAAAAAGCTGCAGTTTTATTGCTATATTACATTGAAATTTTAAAATTTGTAAAATTTGTTGCGTTGCTAAAAATGCGTTGCTAAGTAGCGACACCATTGAGTGTAGTCCGTGATCTGTGACCGATTTTCTTTCATTCCCGTTGTAAACGTCAAAAAAGGTCGTAAACAATTCAAGGCAGTATGAGTTTTACATAATTGCTTATTTCCGTTGAGATTTACCGATATTGACTGCTTTGCAGGCGATTTTGCATTTTCTCATTCCACCCTGAAGAAAGAGTGAGAAAAAAGTATTTTCGCATTTGGCACTTGACCAGCAAATTTATGATGAAAATCAAGGCAAAAAACTGAAATTCATGACAGCGAGTCAACTGTGGTCGCTAGTTGTCGGCTTCTACGAGGATACGTTTTATAACTAACGACGAAGGACCTTTTTGTTGGCTACAAATCAATGCAGACGCGCGACACAGCGAAGTAAACATTCAGACATGTTTGCCCGGTTAAACTTTACGGTTTATACAACGAAAAAATTTATCAATGTTTATCTATACGGTTGCCGTGAAAAGTCTAGCTCATGTATCATTCAATCTCATTACTTTTTTGTTGTCCTTTCATGTAATGGCGTTTTGGATTTTAGCCACAATTGTAAGATTTGTACATGTACATGCATGTCACTATGTATAAATGAATAAATGGTTGGAAAGTTAATGCTTTATTCAATATCTATGATTTTGTATGATTCCTTTTCATTTAAATTTCAAAAAGAGATAATTATAATTGATAAGTTAAAATATTGTATGTTTACAAATCGCCTAGTAACCTTTAAGATTTTTATGGTCATTTGAACTGGAAATACCTCAAATACTTGTAAAATTGTTGAACATTTTGATTTTGTTGTTTTGATATATGAAATGGGCAAAAAGCAAATAATCATAAAAAAACTTGTGACTTGTATTACAATGGAGTTTAAAATTATATTTGAAGTCAGTGAATACAAAATTGTGTTTTTAATATTTCTTCTCTTCTTTTTTTGTGTTTTACGTCTTTTCAATTGGCAATATAAGTGCACAGCTTTCATCTAAATAATAAATCTTATAACCAAGTTAAATACCAGTTGTCATGTGAATATTCAACATCTGATGTTGTTAATACAAGAATGATGAAGTGCATGTAGATTTGATAAGTAAAATTTTGCAAATGTGCTAACGTGGCTTGAATGTAATTTGGTAGGAATATAATGATAAACCTTTGAGTATACAAAAAAAGAAGCTTAGGAAATTGCTCGAGAGGTATCATTGTGAGGATTTTTTTACTTCACTGTTCCGCAGTACGAACATCGTGGAGATGGAAAGAATAAAACAACAAACTTGTGTTATTCAAATCCCACATCAAGTAATGTTTGTGTTCAGAGCTTCAACTAGTTCAGCACTATAACATTCTCACTAATTCTCTCCATCAGCAACATAGATAGTTCAATGTAGGGGAATATGAAATGTTCATGTTCTTATGCTCAGTTATATTTTAAGTTCCTTTGCAATCAATTGTTTTCTATAAATCATAGTATTAAATGAAGATATGATCTTCGCACTTTGCTGGACAATTTTGCAGCACTGCACCGGCACCGCAGAGGTCATGGGTTCAAATCCCGTTGAGTCACCTGAATTTTTCAGGTTCATGAGACAATTGCTTAAATTGTCCAGCAAAGTGCGAAGATCATATCTTCATTTAATTTCAAACCACCGCACTGCATATACCATTCTTTCATATGAGTAGTAATATACATGGGGGTACGAATCCATAAAAAGTTTACTTTTTATGTATTCGAATCCCCCATGTATATTACTACTACACCTGTGGGTAAAAACTATTTTTATAACAGCTTAAAATAAGACCATGGTTCAAAGGCGTCCCCTCGCAAAAGGCCCTGGTTCAAAGCTGTGTAAAAAGTCATTGTTTCAAAGGGGGGTAAAAAACTCGAGTTTACAATCTATCGTTTAAAATATGGAATCTATATGTTTTAAAACTATCTTTACAAACAAATGTTAAGAAAG